CCCAGGAGGTGAGTCGAACTGGACAAACAGAGTGGTCCCGTCAGCAGAAAGCCTTTCCCTGGCTAGATCTCCCACTGGCACTCTCACTGGAAGTTGGCTGCACCTCATCACCAGGGACATTTTTCTCCTCCCTGCGTTAGCTTCCCCTCTTCCTGACTCTCCGGGGCTCAGGTGGGCTGTGCATGGCTGTTTGGAGAAATGGGGCCCCAGGAGCCCCGTGTGTTTGTGTTTCACTGTGTGTCCTCACTGTGCTCTTTCTGCTGTTAGCTAGGCAGGGTGGTTTGGGAAGCCATGCTGAGTATGGGACAGGTATCACTGGCTGGGCGGCTCCTGGAGGATGGTTGTTCACTATGCACTTAGAGGCACTTTGGGAAGGGACAGGGTTGGGTCCCATTGCAGGGAAGTTGTGTCCAAACAGACAGAGCAGACACTCTGCTTGTGAAGTGGAAGGAAAGCAGCCTGTGCCGAGGGGGCTGATGTGGAGAATGCTCACATCTCAGCGTCACAGAGGGCAGGGCTCTGAAACCACCTCAGAGAGATGCTGGCAGTGCCATCCTCTGCCCATAATTGCAGTGGGACAGAAAGCAAAGGCAAACACTCACTGGTCTGAGGTGCAGATGGTGAGGAATAATCTTAAAAGTTTCTGGTTACTTTGGATAGATGCACCTCTCAGTTCCCATTCCAAGGAATCTGTGAGGAGGGAAAGGAGCAGCTTAAGCTGCAGGACTGGGTGCTGCCTTGGTGCAATGTTTTGCCTTGATGGTGAGGCTACAAAGCAGAAATGATACAGAATAGTGTCCTGGCTCAGCAACCACTTCTAGAGGAAGGGGTAATCCAGGATATAGCCTTTGATGAGGAAGTCTTTGCCTGCCTTCAGGTCCCCTGCCAGGGGGGATTTCAGCCTTGGCTCTCAGAGCCTTGGACAGGGTCTGCACCCTCAGCTCAGCCTGGCTTCTGCCAAGAACCATGGTGAGGCCTTCCCGGGGATGACTGAGCCTGGTACCTAGAAGGCAGAAGGGATATTTCCAGTCAGGTCTGAGGATACCCAGGCTGGGTCAGCCCAGGTGGGAATGGGAAGAGTTCACCGGTGGGGAAGAGGATGGTGGGATGAATTCACCTGAGTGGACGTTGTGCCTCTTCTCTTGCTGGACTAGAAGTGGGATGCTGCTTCAGCATGCAGTTCCTGTGCCCCTGAATGGTGGCACGGGGAGGGGGATGCCTGTGTTTGTCACGCCAGAGCATGTGTGGTGGGACTGTGCAATTGGGTGGTGCTGTCTGCCTGCCCAGCCCTGGCGGGCCTGCAGCCCTGTCCTGTATGTCAAGGAAATTGTGAGCTTCCCCCCCTCCTCTTGCTTCCTTCCTGATGGGAATTCACTTCCAAATTTCTTGCTGCTTCTCCCTGCCTTGCTGCACAAACAGCACAAACACGTGTCCCTATGGAGGTTGCCAAAGGTGCCAGACAAGGCAGGTTAGACCATGGGGGCTGCATTGGTGAAGACTCTTGGCTCCTGCAGCATGTGGTGAGGGGTGTCAGGGAGCTCAGGACTCCATCAACTATTCCTGCCTCTTGTACTCAGGAAGGGTTTTACTTTCTGAGCATATATATGGTAATTTCAGCTGTTCTGTCTGCTAACAGTCTTCCCATTGTCTCAGCCTTAGGCACTGATCTGCCTTCAGACCCTGCGCAATGGAGGCCGGCTCTGTGGTACGAGCAGTCTTTGATTTCTGTCCCAGCGTCTCTGAAGAGCTGCCCCTCTTTGTGGGAGATGTCATCGAGGTGTTGGCTGTGGTGGATGAGTTCTGGCTTCTTGGCAAGAAGGAAGGTGTCACAGGTAAAAGCTGGAAATGCCTGTGCCTGGATCCATAGATGTGTCACCTAAACATTCACTCCATGAACACACCTTCCCTTGGCCAGTGCTGTGCAGGACCTGATTTGAATTACTAAATCATTCATGGGACTTTGATTGGGACTGAGGGTGCAGGTTGCCTGCCAGCTTTGCCGTCAGCTATTCATACAGCTTGTTTGTTGTCCTTTGAGAGACATTAGTGGGGTCAGTTCTTGAGATGAGAGCTTCACAACACTGGTTGTTCCATTCTCTGTGGTGAGACAGCCCATTTCCTGGCTAGTTTGTGCACTGACCCACTGTGGCAGTGGAAGGGGAGAAAGGAAACAGATGCACTGAGAGTGGAAACACATCCGCATCCAAGTGACCCTTTCAGGTCAAATCACTTGGAGATGCAGCAACAGAGTTCATGTGTCCCTTTCAGCCCTCTGACTCAGCCCCACTTCCTCTTCAAAGCATTTTCGTGCACAAACTGCCATCAATATCTGGGTGCCTGAAGTAATGTGCGAGTCTCTTAAACATTTGGAGGGATGTGAGAGACTTCTGAAGCAGCAATATGCTCTTAGTGAAACACTTAGAGTCTCAGAGTCTCTGTTTAGGCAGCTTTTTCTCATCTTAATGCTGATGTTAAGAGGATGTGAGAGTTCCCAGGAAGATGAAAACCAGGCCACTTCAAAGCATAAGCCTGCCTCTGTCTTCAACTTGAGGGTAGGACTGGAGTTTCATCCCCAGCTGTGGAAATGGGACAGCAGCAGTCTGGGCTCTCCTAACAGCCACAAGCTGTCTACTGTCTAAAACAAAGATGGACAGGAGCGAAGGTGGAGAGGAGGATTTCTCTCCTATGCTCCATGTACCTGGTAACTGGCATTGAATGAACATGTGCCTGATCCTGCTGTTGCCGCTGCCAAGGTCACTGGGAAAAATTACATCTGCAGTTTTCACCACAGTTTTCTCTTCTAGCATAACTGGTGAGGTTGTTCTCAAGAAGATGAAGCTATTGTGGAATAATAAACAGATGTGTGTCATAGATCAGAGATAAAGAAGCACACTGAAGTCCAACCGAATGGGTGTTAATGACCTTTAACTCAAAATCCACTTGCATTCCTGTTTTCCCTTGGAGCAGCTGTTGTAGTTTTCTGCCCAGCTCTCTGAGATCAAGTTGTAGGGAACTGAACTTTTGAATAGACGCTATGGAGGTGCTAAAGCCTAATACTCATTACTCTGTGTGGGATAATTACTATAACTCCATGACTTCCTTTCTAACAGTTGTTTCCATGTACAAGACAGGAAGCTAAGACATGGAAAAGGAGGTAGAGCTGGTTAAAACAGTGAAAGAAGCAACTGAGGCTAGCAGATGCCAAACTGCCTAAATCCAGTGCAAAGCGCTGAGTGGCTAGGATATGGTGTTTCCAGGTTGTATTAGAAAATACTGGGTCATCTAGAGGAAATGCTGGAAGTGCTACTAGTCCATACTCCATCATATCCCCTTGCCTCAAATTATATAGGAATGACATTTTTAGCAGTGACCTCTGCCACATCCTGTGCTCCCAGAACTGAAATTAGTAGCTGACTGGTATCCTGTGAAGGCCATCAAGTGTGTTCTGCCCCACCTGGCTGGGACCTGTTCAGAACAGCTGGGCATCCAGCAACGGGTGCCACAGTGAAATAGGTGCACAGAGTGACAAAGTGGGGAAGGTCTCTGGAGTCTCAGCAGCACTGAAGCTGTGACAGAGTCGGTGACTCACAGATGTGGCCATCCCCAAGTGTGGTGGCCTGACTTCTGCCCTGAGGCTGTACAGGGTCCAAGTCTTACAGAGGGTGGAGCACCAGGTGGATATAACTAGTCAGAAGCCACTGGTCTTGTGATCCAGCACTACTGGATCTCTTAGTCCTTGTCATGGGTCTGAGTTGGGAAGGAAGCAATAAAAGCAGAGAAAACCTAGTATGCCTGATGGCACAGTCCCAGTAATGAACACAGCCTCTTCATTGCCTGGAGTGAGCTGAGGGCACAAAGCTTTTTGTTCTCTGTTATGTCTTAAGCATTTAAAACCTCAGGAATGACTGATTCACAAACTCATTCCTCTTCCACCATGCTACTGAGGCACCCAGGGTAACTGGGTATTTTCCTTTAGCAAGAGATGAATAGGTCCCAAAATCTGGAAGGAGGGTGGAGGTAGTGGTGGGCCACTGGAAAGACTCATTGCTGACAACTGCTTCTCCTTTTAGGGCAGTTTCCTAGCAGCTTTGTTGAACCTGTGGATATTCCCCCTTTGAAGCAGGGAGAAAAACTGTTTGTTTGTACCAGTGACTTCACATCTCAAGAGCCAGGGAGTTTATCATTGCAGAGAGGTAATCTCCATTCCCTTCCTTTGCTTTGCACCTCATAAACCTCACCTGTCCTTCCAGATGGATGAACCTAGTCACAGCATCCTGCCTAGAGTGACAGAAGAGAGAGGTGAATTTCCTAATACCTCATGACATGGGTCATGTCAAATCCACCATGGACCTCTGGGTTTCTGCTGTTCTGGCACCAGTTTCTCATGATCTGTCATTACTCATGAAACTCCAAAAATTGGAGTCACATGATCACAGTAAATTTACAGCTGCCTTTTAACTGACCTCCAACCCCCAAATCTTAGACTTGCATTTGGGAGAGGAATCAAAGCTTTGATGCACCTTCGTGGCTTTGCAGCCAAAACTGTGTATCTTAGAAATCTGTGTGCAAGATGATGCTGCTACTTCATGCCTTACCCCCATCCCATTCTTGTGAGCTTCCCCAGCATGTGCTGTGCTCTCGCAGAGTGCCAGACCTCACCCAGAGCCAGGAGGGACACGAGGGGCAGGAATAAGTGGTGGAAAACAATAATGAGAGCAGTTTTGAACTGGTGTGTCTCATTCCCCGCAGGAGACCTGGTGATCCTTGGAGGGTGCCTGGCCTCCAGCTGGCTCCAGGGCCGAAGCAGCTGGGGTTCCAAGGGCTTTTTCCCCTCATCATGTGTGCGGGAGCTGTGCCTTTCAGTTCAGAGACGGCAGCTGTCCCAGAGTGCTCTCCTGGAGATGCCTGCCTACTCACTGGGCCAAGCCCGGGCCCTGATGGACCTGTTTGCTCAACTGGAGGAGGAACTTGACTTCAGGGAAGGGGATGTGATCAACATTGTTGGTGTTCCAGAGCCTGGCTGGTTTGAAGGTGAGCTCAGAGGCTGCAGGGGCATCTTCCCAGAGGGTTTTGTGGAACTGCTTACTCCTCTGCAAGCACCAGGAACCTCAGTGGATCCAGAGCGCACAGGGACTTGTGACGCCAATGGGACAGTAGAGATGCCCCCCAAGGAGGACAGGCGGCCTGGGAGCACTTATGGTGTTGCCCTGTATCAGTTCCAAGCCCTGGAGTCCACAGAACTGGATTTTGATGTGGGTGACAGGATTCGGATTGTAGGCATTCTAGAGGATGGCTGGCTGGAGGGGGAGCTGAGAGGAAAACGCGGCATCTTTCCACACAGATTTGTGAGGCTGGAAGCCTCTGATGCTTTCGGGGAAAAGGTGAGTCCTGGGGATCTTCAAGGTGGTGTCAGTTGTGGATTGACCATCCATCAAGACCTGGAAAGCACCTGCTCTGAAGCTCTTCCTTTGCCAGGGAACGATGCCAGGGAAAAGGAGGATGGCTTGGCTGCACACCCTGAGCCTGCCACCATTTTGTCACACAAGGTGGGGAGGTCAGAGGGTCCTCTTGCCACTGACTTGAGACAGCATCAGGCCTTTCCCAGCACAAGACACCAAGGACCACATCCCAAAACCACAGCAGATTCCCTCCCTTCTGACCACACAAAGACAGTCAATGGCCTTCTCCCCTCTGCTCAGCTGCCTCCGCCGCAGGGCAACAGGTCTGGCCAAGCAGGTGAGTTGGAGTCTGAGGGCACCATTTCAGCCTCCCCAGGAAACTCAGAAACTCATGCCTTGCCTGAGCATGATGGAGATGGTCCCTCTGTGTCCTCACAGGTTCCATGCTTTCCCCAAAATCCTTGCAGGAACCAGGTGATTTCATCTCCTAAGAGCTGGGCAGCATCCCAGCTCCAGGAGAGCTGGAGCAGCACCCAGGACCTAGACAATTGGGTGGACAGTCAGCAGGAGAAGTCCAAGCCTTGTTCCTCTAGTTTAGGAGATGCCCAGGTGGGCCTGGACACATGGGCAGGGAGCAGGGGGGAGTGCTGCCCACTTGTAGTGCAGGGGGATGGCTGCACAGACCTTGACTCCAAACTGACAGAGCAGCTGGCACAATTTGAGAAGAGTTTGTCAAGTGCTGGCACTGAGCAGGACAAGGTCTCCCGCCACTTCTCTATCTTGGACTACAGCTCTGAGAAGGACATTGTCCGTGGGTCTCCTGAGTCTGTCCCCCACTCCCAGCAGACAGAGAGGAGGAGGGCCCTGAGGCCGCCCCCTCCTCGGCCCAGCAGCCTTGCGACACCCCCTGCGCACGTGCTGGGTGGCCAAATGCCCAAAGGCAGGTCTCTGTCATTCTCGGTCAAGCCCTCCCGGCCTGCTCCCCGGCCTCCAGCAAGCAACCAGCGGAAAAATGTGGCCCTTGCACAGCTTCAGCCCAGCACCCAGGAGCAGTGGGTGGAAGAGGGATGTGAGGACTTGACACAGGCAGGATCAGCTTCCCCCTGCTCCATTCTGCTGGCTAGGATTGGCGAGGTGGAGCAAGATCTGGAGGCTTATGGCAAAACCCGTGCTGAGCTAAGCCTGATGCTGGAGGAGCAGCAGGATGAGCTGGTGAGAGCAGAGACCATGAAAAACCTTGATTTATGTGACTCCAACATTGAGAGCCTTGGCATGGAGCTGCAAGAGCTTAGAGGTGAGTCTACAGCAGCATGGGATGGTGTGTGCTTCAGGGGGACATCTGCCCCTGCTGTTTGCTGACACTGTTGAGGCCAGTCTTCTATACCTGTCTTTAATTCCTCATTTTGGTAATTTTGTAAGCAGTGTTGCAGTACAGATCATCATGATTTTGCCTTGGAGAAGCACAATGTCTTTCTCTGGACATCTCTTAGCCCTGGTCTTCCCCAGCCACTTTTCCTTCCAACTCTCCCGTCTCCTCTTCCAGCCTCACTGTACATCCAGAGCCTTCATCTTACCTGTTCGCAGTATGCCTTTGCTATCAAGCAAAAGCACAGCAGCTGCAGTTTCAACCTCCCTGCCTCATCCCATTTTAGCTGTAGAGGAGTGAGCAGCAGCTTCCAAGTGGCTTTGCTGGTGGTCCTGTGGTTGAGATTTGAGTTGATGCCTGCGGTGTGACTGCCCTCAGCCTGTCAGGGCACCGGGTTTCCTGTGGTTTCTGCTCTTGTTGGTGATACAGACCTGTGGGAACTTGTCACTCAAATCAGAGGGGAGGCACAGAAGGGGACTGGACCCGGCCTGGGAGTGGAATGGATTAGTAGGCAAAAAGTAAAGCCTGCCCCTGTGCTTCTGTTATCTGTGGTGTCCAGGACAGGAAAATGACACTGGTGTCAGTAACAGCAACAAAGACCTTTAAATTGTGGCATATGTGTAGTCGAAAAGGTAACTTTTTTGTCCATGCGGCCCAGGAAAATAACTCAGGGAAGAGGAATTTGCCATGATTATTTGCACATTTGGTCTCTGAAACCCAAAGATGCCATGTAAAGATCAATGCTATTAATTACATTACACTTAATATTACAGTAGGTAAAGTGAAAAGATGTGACTACATACATCATCTCCCACAGTCCCTTCCCCAGCTTCTCTCAGGAGCTCTGACACCGCAGTTCTGTTACCGAAACCCACGATGTGCAGGAAATGTGGGCACTGCATGCGGGAGTTGGAGTGAAATGCCAGCTTCTGTCTGGGGATTACTCACTCTGATTTCATTGCCTCCATCCTCCCACTGCTCAGTCAGCGCCGGGGAGCCCAGGCACTTTGCTGCACGATCATGTCTGATGCAGAGCACATGGCAATGAAGGCTGATATGGGTGCACCAGGAAAATAGGGTGACAGCCTCCACATCAGTGGTGTGTGAGAGGGATACTTGGAAGGAGGCTTAGCGGATTTGAAGCTAGATTGAATAACTTGAAGGTAGGAAGAGGAAAATCTTGGCTGAATCTCAAGGGAAATTTTCCAATGGAATAGATCTTGCTGGGAAATGTCTCCAACTGTCCAAGTGCTTCCTGGCAGAGGATGGATCCAGTGGAACCTGTGCTCTCTTGGTTCCTGGAACTGTTAAGTTTTAGGCAAGAACTAATGCACTATCCTGAGACATCCTGAGTTACTATCCCCTGGGTAGTCCTAGGGGATTTTTCACTATTTCAAGAGACCTGAGGATTTGTAAGTAACCTCTCTGGTCCTGTCATAAAGATGTGTCATACCCAAGGTCTTTCATATCCCTCCTGCCACATCAGGGTCTGGCCAGAGAGCATGTCTCAGTCTTGCTAGCCCAGCTTTAGTGCAGCAGGCCAGATCAATAATGTGGTGGTGCATCTGCTCAGCAAAACGCGTTTGTGCCATGCCTGAGGCGTGACCTCTGCCTTGATGCCGTTTTGGGAACATGGGGGCATGGTGAAAAGAGAAAAGCTCTCACTAAGTATTGATCAGCAACCAAAGCAGGGCTCATATAGTTTTGGGGGAACCCAGTCCCTTGGTGTATCCTCTGGGGAGCCAAAAGAAGAATAGAAAATACATTGTTTTCTACAATACATGCTTGAAGTTGTCAGGTTGCTTCTTTGGTGTGTCTTCTGTGCACACTGAGGGTTTTGCTGGTCACCAGGCTTGGGCAGGATTACTTCTTGCCCTCCTGCAGTTGAAGTGGAAGAGTCCATTGGTTTTATTTTTGTCTTCTACCAGCTAGGAGCATGGGCTGTGCATTCCTAACAAGTGTTGCAAGAACCTGAGACATGGATGACATCCACGGACTCTCACACTTTCTGTCTAGGGCATGTTGTGGCTGTCTCTTGGTTTCTTGTAGAAGCTCCTGCATTTGGCCTGGAAAACTGGGAATATGTTGTGCCCTGTAGTGATAAGCATTACTGGAGTGAGTGTTCTGATAGCCTCCTGGGAACTTATATTGCGTATTGGCACTGTATTCTGTAACCCAGGTAGTCATTTCAAGCCGGTTCCTATCAGCGAGTTTACCATGAAGCAGGGAACCAGGCAGCTGTGATTGCATGGTGCTGTGTAGGCACTGCTTGGGGATGCTCTGTCTTGCAGGGAGCAGCTCATCTTCTGATCTTCCCAGGACCTATGGGTGAGGGCTAGGAAAAGGATAGGCTCAGCATCATGTTTGAGCCTAGGGCAACCTGAAGGCCTCAGTTTGCCCCCCCGAGGTGTGGAGCAGAGCCCAGCCTCTGCTAGACTGCATTGTTTAGCCTACATGCCATCAGGAGTGTGAAGGCAGCTGAAGGAGGTCTGGTATCCCATCTCTGGTTTTTGGCTTCCTGCGAACACTGAGTCTGTTTCCCTTCCCTGAGGACATTGGTCTTGGGGCAGGGCCACTGAATGCTCCAGTGCCCTCCTCTTCCCTGCTTCTGAGCTGCCTGAGGAGAGGCTTTGGCAAAGCCGCGGAGCCGGTTTGGGCAGTGAGAGCCTGCCCAGCTTTGGCTTCCCTCCTCGGGGCTGGTTACTGATTACTTTGGGCAGCAGGTGGAGGAGGACAGGGCTAGCAGCGATTGGGCCTGTGCCTCTCCGTACCCTGGTTTCAGGAAGCAGCACCTGCATTTCGCTTGGGACGGGAGCGCTGGAGCAGAGTGGAGTAGTGGCGTCAGCCGGGACTTGGGCTCAAGAAGGAGAGAGCAAGGGGAGTCAGCCCCTGCACCACACCTTACCAGGACTATGTGCACTTATCCTGAGAGGAAACACCGCGTAAAGGATACGAGACAGGAACCGCAGCTCCTTTGGTGGAAATACGAGGACTATTGTGCTGTACGGGGAGAGGACGTGGCTGGGGTGGCCACACTGCGCAGGGAGGCTGGCTGCAGTGACAGATCCAGGGCGACAAGGAGGCAGTACCCAGACAACTGGGAAGCAGACAGTGGCTGGGATGGTTACAGGAGAGGAGAAGGCACTTCCGTGGACCAACAGAGTATGAATGGACACTGTGGAGGTTTTTGGAAGGGAGATAGGCAGTACATGGACTGCAGGAGAGCAGATGGTGCTTGGGAAGGCAAAAGCCAGGATACAGAGGGTAGAAACTACGGAGTGTATGAGAGGGAGGGCATTCAGTACAGAAACTGCAGTTCTGAGATAAGAGAAGGGTGGAACAGAGAGAACAGAGTACCTGGGCGGTATAGGGAGGGGGGAAGGCAGTACAAAGAGGATAGAGGCCCTGGAGACTATAGGGAGTGGGAAAGGTGGTATCAGGACTATAGAGATCCTAAGGACTACAGTGAGGATGAAAGGCATTATAAGAAAAAGGAAAGGTGGTATAGGCAAGAGAGGGACTCTGGGGAATACAGGGAGGAGAGAAAGCAGTTTAGAGAGGACAGAAGCAGGCAAGTATATAGGGAAGGGGAAAAGTGGTATAGAGAGGGTGCATATAGAGAGCAGGAAAGGCAGTATGTAGGTATCAGGGACCATGTAGACCAAGAAGACATTGAGCATCACAGGCAGCCCAAAGGCCATGCCATGGACCACAGCAGTCTGGACACAGGTTGTGAAACTCCTGCATTTGCAGTCAGGTCTTCAGGAGACAACAGCATTAGCCTGGGCTCAGGTACCTGCTACACACAGTTCAAGACATGGGATGTTGACTACAGTTGTGGGGAGCTGGAAGGAGCCCCAGGGCCTGGGGTGCCAGCCAAGGGCAGCAGTAAAGCAGAGCGCTCGAGGGTACGCACAGGCCAGCCGGACTGGAGCCAGGTCTGGGAGCAGGAGGCTGAGGAAACAAATAGGGTGAGTTCTGTGCTGCAGCGAAACAGCTTCTACAGACGGACGGCTCCCAGTGCTCTGCGGCACTCAGAGTTTGTGCAGACCAGGAAGCAAAAGCAAGGTATGTGGGGAAACGGTGAGCAGTTGCCTTGGGTGTGCCTTCTCCTTGCCCTGGCACAGGGGCAGCACAGGGACTCTGGCACAGGTGGGTGGCTGGCACAGACAGGCTCTCATGGGAAAGCTCCTCCTTGGGGCTTGCTGAAATGAGCATCATAATCATTACCCCTCTGTACAGTTGCTGATTTTGCAGAGGCCCAGATGGAAGGAAAGCACAGGTGGCACACTCACAGCTCACTGGTGTCCTTTCTATTGCTCCTTCATCTATGCTTCAAGTGTTTTAAGTACACCGTAAAACTTGTGACCCAGCTTTGTCTACTCTCTCGGGGCCCTAAGGAGGTTCCTCATGGGAGAAAGGGTGAAGTGCTGGGATTATTCCCCTTGCCTATTTTACTTTTATAACCCGTCATGGACATACTGTGTGTATAGGAAGCAATTCCTGACCCAGAGTGTGAGTATGGCAGCACAAAGCAGGAAATAGAAGAAATATGTAGCACTCAGACATATGCAGAGAGCAAGTACTTGTGGTTGCATAATTCACATGGGCAGGACATCGAGGTACCTGTGTGTTGTGGGGCTCTGGCAGGTGGGAATCTTTTGCATCACCAGTACCACAGTGGTCCCTTGCCCGTGCTACAGCAGTTGCATGCCCTGTGTCCTGAGTCTCCAAGCCATCCCTGAGTCTCCAGGCTATCAACCAGCACCCTGGAGCTGGAACAATACCAGAGTGTAAGGCTCACACGGTCTTGACATGGGCAAAATTACATTGATTGCTGTGGCTGAGACAGTCAGCTGCAGACAGCTTTGTGCAGCTTGGCTTGTTGGAAGAATATTAGTGTATGATGGGGAAGTGGCAGCAAGGTG